CGGACGGCCCGGGAAGCGCCCCCTACTGGCGGCACTGATGGCCCGGGGAGCGCCCCCTACTGGCGTGTGTGTCACAAATCACTCTTCTCTCTGCAGACAGGACAAGAAGCAATGGGCTTACACTGCAGGAGGGTTAGGCGGGGCAGTAGGAAACATTTCCTGCCTGTCAGGGGGGTGAAACTCTGGAATAAATTGCCCAGGGAGGCTGTGGAGTCTCCTCCCCTGGAGATATCTCAATCCCCAGAGCTTTGGGCTGGGAGGGTGGGAGAGGTGTCCCTGGGAGGAGAGCCCCTGGGGTACGAGCCCTCTCTGCCAGCCCACCCCGAGCCTTGGGGTATCAGCCCCCCGTGTTAGGGCTGGGGGCTCACCCCGCAAGCGGCACTGGGGGTGAAGCACCCGTGGGCCAACCTTCCCCAGAGATTCAGCTCCTGCTTCCCCGGGGAGCACCCCCCCTGCTGGCTCCGTGTCTGCAACACGAGCTGCCTGGAGCCTGCTCTATCGTCCCAGCTCCGGGCCAGGAATCTGGTTTCCTGGCCTGGCTGTTACCGCAGCAACCTTTCAAGCCGGGAGTTTTTATTTTGACAAGGCGCCTTTATACAGACTTGCAACGCCAGGCCAAGGGGGGCTCAGGCTTCCCCGGGGAGCACCCCCCCTGCTGGCTCCGTGTCTGCAACACGAGCTGCCTGGAGCCTGCTCTATCGTCCCAGCTCCGGGCCAGGAATCTGGTTTCCTGGCCTGGCTGTTACCGCAGCAACCTTTCAAGCCGGGAGTTTTTATTTTGACAAGGCGCCTTTATACAGACTTGCAACGCCAGGCCAAGGGGGGCTCAGCTCCGTCACCCGATCCCCCAGGCTCCTGGGCTCAGCACTGCCAGCGGCCTGGGGCAGAAGGGAGCAGGGGGCAGGGACAGGAACCACACACCCCCCCTCCGGGCAGGTGCTATTTCTGCCCTGAAAGTTTCCCCAGGGGTCCGGCTGGAGGCAGGCCCGGCTCAACCTCGCCCGGTGGCCTCTGGCATCGGACCGGAGC